ATAAAAGATAAACGGTGACACGGTTCAAGCAGCCAATTATATCGGGGTTAAAGTTATCCAACGAATAGGGGTTAAAAGGTACGATTGGGATAAACGCGCGAACACATTTGCGCATACATTCGTCTGCATCGAAATCGAAAGTGCCACGACTCGCTCATGATCGACACGATCGACTTGGAAACCCCTTGGAAGGAGGCGACCCCTCTCCCTAAAGTAGATCCACCAGATTAAATCGAATCGCTCTTCGATAAAGATACCTCACTTCCACGGTGTTCTTTATCTTTTTTTTCTCTTTTTTTTTCTCTCTTTTTTTTTTCTTTCTCCTCTTATTTTACGATTGCAATCACGTCGCTGTTGCATGCCTGGAACCTTGAGAGCCTCGAACATCGGACGTTCGAAGGGACTGCGATTGTCGCTTTTTCTGCTCGTATGCTCGTTGGGAAGAGAAGCATGCCGCGAAGCATGAGCCTAGCGTCACTGTTCATACCGTGTATGTAAATAGATGTATATTCGATCATTAGATGTATCATAGAAGTGCTTTCTCTAACTCTGTTTTTCTTTTCTTTTTTTTTTTTTTTTTTCTTCTTTCTTTCTTTCTTTCTTTCTTTCTTCCGTCAAGCTTGATGATCTCGTTCTACTTCATTTTATACTTATATACTTCACTCTCGAACACGTAGACTCACCTCGCTGTGGACACACGTTTTATATATAATAACGAGGAGGAGGAGGAGGAGGATACCCGAGCGAACGGATGGTGAAGATGAAAACGTGGCGCTAATTTGTTAAAAACGCGAAAGCAAGAAACTGGTCCTCGGGTGTTCTCCGTCCGCTGCGCACATCGCATCGCCAGGAATCGCTACCATTCTCTTCTTCTCAGCTTCTCTTTCATCAGAAATCACCCCCGCGACAGAAATATCCTGCGACTGATGAGCCGGATCGATACCGGGTTTCCTTTGACGGTTGATTAAACGCTATACAACATATATATATATGTATATATCGAGGCGGGCGCAGGATGTTGTTGCGGGGAAAGATCAGCTTGAAACCATCAACGTCACAAGCCCGTTCACGAATTACTTTCATAGCGATCAGTCCATGTCACGCAAGGAATTTGGAAACCAATCCACGATATTACCAATCCAAGATCGCGAAACCTCCCAAGATTGCAGATTAAGCATCGCATTGGTTCCCAAGTTCGAAAGCGTGAGAGAGACACGCGTCTCTCTCCCCCTTCATCCGTCCCTCTATCATTCTCACGAGAGACGCGACCAAGTCGTAACGACGATAAAGAAAAGAAAAAGAAACCAACGAAAACCCGTTTCTCCGCGCTTCGTAGCATCCATGGCAAGTGAGCAGAGACGGCCAGAAGATCATTGGCCACATGGTATTGCGAAAGCAGTCCGGCTCCGGGAGCAGTAGTAGCATACTCGGATTGAAAGTGGTTGGCGGCAAACTGTTGGAGGATGGGTCCATGGGCGCCGTCATCGAGAAGGTGAAGAAGGGTAGCACGGCCGACATAGAAGGTCAACTCAGACCCGGTAAGAAATAAATTTAACCCACAGAATTCCTCCCCCTCTTTATCACGTTCGATGCTTCGCCTACCTTCGCCACCCTCCGTGCGAATTCGTCTCGTGTTGGGTTCCTCCCAACCCAAGATCACACCCAATCCGATCCAAATCATCGTTTTTCATCGATACTCGCGTCACGACTTCTTTTCTTCCCCGTACCTCCTCGAGACTAACCTGTCGGTCGGATACAACGCTTGGAAACGAGGCGACTCGGTAGATCCCAAGTAAATAAATTGCTGGTTGGAGGCTGGCCACCCGATTCGGACGATTCGACGATTTCAGGTGACGAGGTGATCAAGTGGAACGGCAGATCCCTTCAGGGCAAGAGTTTCGGCGAGGTTTATGACATCATCGCCGAGTCGAGGCAGGATCCCCAAGTGGAGCTGGTTGTCTCGCGGAATATATCGTCGGCTACGGGCCCCATGGCCTCGGCGGGCCCTGTGCCCGCGATGGCGGTGAGGAAGACCGCGCAGACCCAGTGGAGGCAAAAGCATCCGGAGACGATATCCGGGCCGCAGCATCACAAAGGTGACTATGCGCTTCGCGCTCCCTTCGTCCCCTCTCTTCTTCTTCTCTCTCTTCTACTATCTTCTACTCGTCTCTCTTTCTTTATCCTTATTTACCATTCCCTTCCTCGTTGAACACACACGAGAGAAGACTGACTTTTCTCAGGCTCTCTTCTCTGTCTCCCTTCTTGCCTGCTACCATACGTATACTTGTATGTATATATATATATATACACGTGTACGTAGAGCGGTGACGTTCGAAATATAAAAAAAAAAGAAGAAGAAAGAAAAAGAAAAATGATGATAATTCGAACCGTGGCCGGAGCGTAAGACGCGCGTTTAGACGACGAAGAAGGTAGAGAAGGTAGACAATGGAGGTAGACAAACGAGCGAAGCTCACTCGGTTGCGATAGAGGTATACTTTAAGATGGGAATTTGTTGCGAACGAGTAGCAGTTTGAGAGAAAGGGGTGATTGTTGAACGATGATCGATCGAGTTCTCGATATTTTTTTCGTATTCGTGGTTGAAAGGAGAGATGGTGTAACAATCATCGTTACATCGTTCGACAATTTCACCTTTACGTAGCATCCATTTTACGTAGTATATAGAGAGTTTCTAGAGCTAACTTAGAGCGAGATATATAATACACGTTCTCCAGAATTTTTAGAAGAGAGTTTGTTGGGGGGGAAAAAAGAAAAAAGAAAATGTCGATTGAGAGCACGAGAGCATTGGAAATATCGATCGGGTTTTCCTTTTTCCTCTCCCTTCCCCCCCCAAGTCACGATACCACATTAATTATTATTAGCTATAGTATAGTTAAGCGCATTGAAAGCGACGCTATATTGTCACAGATTATATGATTTTTCGTATTCCAGGTCTTAAGAAATGTATTCTATGGGGTAGGCCTCAAATTTCTTAAATTTCTCGATCCTTAATAATCGGTGTTTTAGCCCCGCCCCCGATTGTTCATGCTTTTGACTCTTTCCCTTGTATTTACATATATATATATATATATATATTTACATCCTTTCTTTTCTCTCTTTCTCTCACCGATAATCCTCCTTGGGGGAAGATTCACGGGAGGAGTGGCGAAAAACCGGAAAGGATTTGCCATTCCCGGACGGAATGGAACACAAAGGAGCAACGATTATCGAGATCTATGCTTTTTAACCGAGAAAGCCCCGTTACGGATTGTTCGATTTCGTCCGCTTTCTGTACCCATCCATCGATGTTATCGTAGAGCGTAGAGAGTAGGTAGTGCCAATGCACCCCCCTCCGCCACAATGCTAACTTTTTCTTTTTCTACGATTACATAGTGTTTTTTATGGGAGCAACAACTTTGACAAACACAAAGATGATCGCGTCGTTCGTAATTCGCTCTCCCCTTCGCATTGGCCGATCAAACGCGTTCGAATCCTTGTAACGCGCCATTCTTTCGCGCGATTCTACCCCTCCTTTTGTTTCTTATAGACTCGTCGAAAGCTGCACACCTTGCGTTCGTGACTTAAGATCACGAGTCGACAAAAAAAAAAAAAAAAAAACAAAACAAACGACGAGCGTGAACGTTTTGCTTGCGATCGTTCTTTTCTTTTAATTCATTTCTATATACACACATATATACATATATATATAAATAATTGTTGAAGCAGTTTTTATTTTTATTTTATAAATAATCGACCGATAGCCAGACCACGTCTTCTTCAGGAACCGAATACGAAGAGAAAACGCAACCGCACCGGCGACGTATGTATGCGCGTGTATCGCATCCTGACGCCCAGTCACGCGGAGCCACCAGTTAATAAACGCATCCGCGAACCACTTTCACCGCATCTACTTTCCGCCGGCTGCGTACGACGCGTCTAACGCATGGCTCTTTTCACTCGCGCGACTCGCGCGTGAATTGCGAACACCTCTCATACCCATGGAATGGACGCGTCCGCCCGCAAATTGCATTGCATCGCCCTGATGGAAAGTTACGGGGAATCTTACGGCGATTCGACACCGGTCGAAGATCGAATTCGAGCGACTGAATCGAATCGTCTTGCTGAATATTCGTCGAATCGCTGTAAAATCCACACGCGATCCAATCAATCCCGTTTCAATCCCGGAATAATCGAAATTCGCGAAACAACCGTTTTACACGTTGTTCTAGGGAACAAGTTATATCGGAGATAACGTTGGCCCGTAAGTTGCTCGAATTTCTTGCATTTGCCCGTAACTCGAACGTCCCTCGATATATACACTCCTCGCCTATCCCAAGATTCGGCGCCCTAGTAAAAGATCGTCGAACCCACGCCCCCGTTTTGCCCCCACAGTTTTCACGAGTTTGTCCGCCAATCTTCCTTCCATATCCACCTTCTATAGATGGCGTCTATACAAAAGCGTCGAGCTAGTCGCGCACCGACCATTTCTCCCTCTTTTCTCCTCCTCGCGAATGCTAGTGTCTTTGCATAACATACATCCCACGCGATATTTATACTATTTCCTACGTCATATTTTACACATCACGTGTATATAGACACCTTTTTAACACCCACGTAGCCCAATTCCAATTTCGTTCGAAGCACGCCAGGTTACGAGGAAGAAACGTCTAAAATCTAGTCGGCGCTTGAACGATCACTTGCAGAGTTATACGACGCGAGGCGCGAGAAACCTTCGGTTTTAGTGACCTCGCCCGGCTCGCCCGATTTCCACGCCCGAGGACACGCGAGACACCTACGGCACGCGTCGTCCAGCAACGCGAACGTCGGTGGTAATCTCCAGGTGAAGCTGAGCTTCGATCCCGTGGCGCTACGGTTGATCGTCACGTTGATCTGCGCGGCCGGGCTCACGCCCAGGAGCAACGGCCAACCCAGAAATCCCTACGCCAAGATCTTCCTGCTCCCCGACAAGAGGTGAGTGTTCTCGATCGGAAACCGATCCACTCCTTCGATACATATATTTTCTTATATAAACGGGAGAAATGCGGATGATTCTCGCGAAATCGAAATAGAGGCGTGCATTTGAGAGAGCGCGAAACGTTTTCACGGGCCATCGCTGTCCTCCTTTCGAAAAGATAAATCATTTCCTTAAGAAGGAGTCGCGGGGGCCAAAAGATAGCCGGTCAGTTTGGCCGGGTTGCCAAACGATGTTGCCACCGAAACTTCTCTCGTCAACCATATCGATTACGAGCGATTACGTGCAATCGTATTTATTATTAATCTCGTTTTCCCCCAGCGAAAAGTCGAAGAGACGGACGAAAACGTTGGCGAACACGAACGACCCGAAGTGGAATCAGACGTTCGTGTACGAGGGTATCAGGAGGGTGTCGGAGTTGAGGAAAAGGGCGCTCGAGATCACGGTTTGGGATTACGGGAAGTACGACACGAACGACTTCCTGGGCGAGGTGGTCCTCGAGCTCGCGGCGGCGCGTTTCGACGAGGAGGCCGAGTGGCACCCCCTCGCAGGGCACAGCGAGCACCGGCATATTGGGTATGTGGATCACTTATGCGAATCGATATATATATATATATATACCTTAGGATGTTTCACTTTATTCATATGCCTCTGAGATGAGACGCAAATCGCTAAAAAACGCATTCGTCCGCTTATTGCAATGAGAGAATTAGGTGAGAATTTTATCTTAGAGATTGGTGACTGACGAATACTCTTTGCGCTTCTTAGTCGCTGAATGCAAAATACAAAAAACTTTGTCTTGGGACCGAGTCTTCTACAGCTTTGCGAGAAGGGCCTGTGTGTGTGTGTGTGTGCGTGTGTGTGTGTGTAGGCGTGCAGCCATTTCTTTCCGAGTAGGCTGAGGGAGAAGGAATCCGTCGACGGTCACGTGCGTTTATCACCCTTTTATCACGTCCAAATCTCGCGCGCGTGTCTAACATTCTCGCGCATAACAACTCGTGAAGTGAACAGAGGGAACGGAGTAAACGAAATAAACAGACAGACAGATAGATAGATAGTTAGATAGATAGATAGATAAAAAAGGGGGGGAGAGAAAAGAAAGAAAATGATAGTAAAGAAATTCGAGGATAGAATAAACAGGGGGAAAAAAATTTGTCGAAACGAAACGATGATGTTTCGTTCAGCGGAATCCGTTCGGCTGATTCTTTTTCACCTAGCGCTAGCGAGAAGAGCGTAGCGTGAGATCTAAATTTCGCGTTGCACAGATACTATCAGGAGCCCGATGACATGGTGATAACACCGGTGGACTGCCATCTCAGTCCACCGTCGACGACGTCGCGGCTCAGCGACTCTGACACTTCCGAATGCGATATCACGGACTGCGACGGCTCCAGGGAGCAAAGGAGAACAGCTGACGGTGCCAGTATAAGCAGTATCGGCAGTTCCTCCAGGTAAGAGCATCCTTCGAAAATCTCTCCACGGTCGCGTCCCGAACGACTCTCCCCAACCACTCTACCGACCAACCACCACCCCCCCTGTCCCTCCCGCGAAACGATATATACATTTATAAAACTGGGGACAAGAGAGAGAGGAGAGAGAGAGAGAGAGAGAGAAGCGCCTTGCTACTTTCACGCGCGAAAGAAATCTTGCACGGGCGGATACGAGACAGGAACGCGTCGGTCGTCGTTTAACGAGGAATAAACTTCGTGGATCGTCAACACTATAGACACCGTCGATATGCGGATTAACAATTAAACGTATTTAAAAGTTTGAGACCGCCTTCTTCTCGTTTTATTTTGTCTCAAAAGAGAAAAACGCAACGTTCAGTTGCATCTGCACGCGTAGCTCTTGTTATCGTATTCATTTGCATGCAGATCGATGCGCTTTAATGAGTTCGTTCTTTTACTTTTGTTTTGTTTTGTAGCAAACTCGGTACGTCAGTCGATGTTTGCTCGATTAGAAGAGTTAGAAGAAAGTGTTCTTCTAAAAAAAGAAAGGAGCTGATTCTTTCCGATACGCGATTGGAATATTAATGCGCCCGAGATCAGACGACTCGCGTTCTCGCGAATCCATGTCGTTCGACGAAGACATTTTGTGCAGGAAGTAGAGAGAGAAAGATATTCGACGCGGGTGAATTTGGGCAGGAATTAATGGCGCTTAACACGAAGCAGCGTGTCTGTCTGGCCAACAGGAGCTCGCGTCTATTAATCCGTCGAGCGTTATTATTCCCGACTTAAGATTCCTCGTTCACAGGTCTCGTAATCGGCACCGTAACCGTCGTCGTCGTAATGGTTATTCCCTCGGCGGCACGCGACGCGCTCTTAATCGTCGATAACACACGAGGCGGTGCCGGTACTCGAGATTAGCCTAGAGATTCGAACCGTTTCCTCCATGCATCATTCGTCTTTGTTGCTCATTGTTGAAAAGATACCGAAAGGACGTAACGGATGAAATTCATGCTCGAAATCGTACGATCGTTTCTTTTCGAAAATGATTCTCGATTGATAGAAAAAAAAAAAAATTCGAGAATTATTATTCTCTCACAGATATCTGTTTTTGTATAAGCAAACACGTGTTGGAATAATGGACGCTTAAAGGGTCCCAAGTATTTCCCGGCTTCGTTCGATTTCACCAGGTGAATCTCCGGACAATTGCGGGAAAAGGAGGGGGAGGGGGGAGGGGGGATAGAGCGGCGTTTTTGTGTGTCGTGTGTTCGCGGAAGACGGCGACGTCGTCGTCGTGACGTAAAGCCGTCGACCACAACGATGAAAGAGAGACAATGGCGGCGGGGGCAACGGGGGGGTGCGAATGAGAGTGTAGCGGGGGAAGAGAATTAGAGAAAGAGAGAGAGGGAGGGAGGAGAGAGAGAGAGAGAGAGAGAGAGAGAGAAGAAGAGGAGGGAGGAGGAGAGAAGAGAGCGG